TCTTTCTTTCTTTCTTTCTTTCTTTCTTTCTTTCTTTCTTTCTTTTGGGCCAATCCACTTCATGGCCACTAGGGGGCGCTTAAAGCTAACTAATTGAGAATTCATCCACAGAATTGCTGGCCTCTCCTGTTACTTCCCATATAAATAACTAACTCGATACAAAACTCTGTGGTCGGGCTTAGTTTTTGGGGAGGAAAATAAGGGGGAAAAATTTCTGCCTCTGCCTACCAGCATCCATCGGTGTTCATCTGGCTAGCGTCCTGTCAGTGTGTGAGAGAGTTGAGGGCTGTTTGGAAAGTGAAACAGTATTTGCTGTGCGAGCAAGGATGAGACAGCAAGGAGCCTGGGCGTGGCTTAGCTCAACTGTTCTGTACTAATGTTAGTTGCTGATGTGAAACTAAAACTGAAACTTCTCTCCTCTACTTGTGTTTTGCCTTTGGAAAAGATTTCTTTTCAGGTGAGGAGGGGGAGTAGAACTCCTTAGCATCAGAGCGTGTTAATAATAATAATAATATAGGAAATACTAAGGCTCTGATGGTCATTTTGACAAATCCTTTCTTAGCGAGCACCTAGAAGCTAAGAGGAACAAACGTGCCAAATTTCAAGTTTGTAGGCTTTACGGTTGTGGAGATTTTGTGATGATGCGTGAGTGCTTTTTTTTTTGCTTTTATATAGATAGAAGAAGCAGAAGATAATATACAATTATCCAATAAGATCTGATTCATCAGTTGTGGTCGTAAGTCAAGAGCTACCTGCAGTCCTCAATTTATACAACCTTAGCAACCCTGTTAAGTTAGGATGGATCTCCCAAAAGGTGGATATGATCCCGTTTAGAAATTAGACTCAGAATAACTTTATTGTCACAATTCCCACAACACTGTCCAACTCTGCATTACTGTTAGTATTAATCCTCCCATCCTTTCACTCATCTCTTCCCACTTATGACTGTATGACTGTAACTTTGTCGCTTGTATCCTAACAATTTTTATTGACTGTTTCCTAGTATGATTTGATTGCTTATTGTACCTTACGACTATTAAGTGTTGTGCTTTATGATTCTTGACTCTGGCGGATGTATCTTTTCTTTTATGTACACTTGAGAGCATTTGCAACGAAGACAAATTCCTCGTGTATCCAATCACACTTGGCCAATAAAGAATTCTCTTCTCTTCTCTTCTCTTCTCTTCTCTTCTCTTCTCTTCTCTTCTCTTCTCTTCTCTTCCCTTCCCTTCCCTTCCCTTCCCTTCCCTTCCCTTCTCTTCTCTTCTACTCTATTCTCTTTAAATGTATACTAATTGGCATACAGTAAAATGAAATTTCATTGCATGCAGCTCCATCTACACTACATAAACATGACAAATAAACATACATATAAATAAAAAAATTGCATATACCTACATACCCACGTATATTATTATATGACATAGAGAAACAACACAGTCTCGTTTGGATGTATATAAATGTAAATTCTTCTCCAGGTCTTGTAATCGTATTTCGGGGTTCTCTGCAAATCTTTTGCCATATTCCCCAGCCCCAATCACCACAATTTCCAAGACTTTTGTCAAAAGTGGTATTTGCTTACAGTTTTCTGCAAAAAATAA